CCCCAATACATGTCATTCCCTGAGAAGTGGAATGCGTCTCGTAAGTGCAATGTCTCTTTAAACATCAAAATTCTTTTTCTTCAATTTTTTTTTTCTCATTCTTGCTTGTGGTTGCGCAGCTTTCGCCCCGATTTCGAATACAGTTCCCCAGCTAAAGGAATGGATCGAGGGCATTTGTACTCAAATGTCGTACTTTGAGCGCACATGGCGCGGACTCTCGAAGGGCCTATGGGAGGCCCGTTCTCATGGTAAGGCCTCTTTTTGAATGGCCAATACCACATTTCTATCTTTTATTACACTAACTCCTCTTCCCTTTGTTATTGCAGGTTTGACTAAGACCACCTAACTTAGGCCTTCAAAAGGGGACAAGGATGTGCTGCATCCATTGATCCCTCCGTTGCTGCCACGGAGGAAGAGAAGAAAAGGAAGAGAAAACCCCCGGGCTCTGAGGTAAAGAAGCCAAAGAAAAGGGTGCTCTGCAAGCCCAGGAGGGGATCTAGTTCCCGAGCGCTGGATTTCGATTCTCTTCTCCAGTTTAGAGATGAGCCAGAGGATGAACCTACTTTTGTTACCCATGGGACGACTTATTCCGGGGAATCAGAGTCATTCGAGGGGGAGACTCGTGAGATCGACCCCCCTTCAACTCAAAAGACCAACGTGGATACCTGGGGTGAAACTCCCCAAGATGTCGGCTCTGCTCCAAAGGAAGCACTCGATATAATTAAAATCCCGGGGATGCCTTCCTATAGTGAGTCCATGCTCGAGGAGGCCTAAGAAAGAAAAAAGAAGTCCAATGAGGGGGTCCATGGTGAGGACAATCCCCTTCATTCATTTTTCGATGGTGTGGACTCGTCTGCTTTGGAAGACTTCTCCGGGCTGGGCGACCTGGAAGTTCCAAAAAAGGATGCATCCTCGGAAACTGGCGGGCCGAGCTCGAGCCCAAAATTGATTAATTAGTTCCCTACTTTCAGTGTGGACCCGGTCGTAAGAGATCAATTATACTGACCATCCTGAAGGATACCCGGGTTTTGTCTGCTCCTGTGGGGGTAACTAGCTACCTACGATGCCTGGTTATTGAGGAGGACCAGGAAATAATAAATGAGGTGAGCGTGCCATGACTTTTCAATGAGGCGCAGCAGGCGCTGACCCGGGTAAGGCATCTCTACTTTCCATCGATCTATTGTTATATGTGTTAGACGTTTTTTGCCTTTTTGCAGGCCTCAATACTTCATCACGAGAGTTTCCTTCGGTACCGGGTTGAGGTCAATCAGCTTGAGCTCGAGATCAAGGAGTTTGCCGAAAAAAGGGACATGTACAATCTCCTAAGCGAGCAGCAGGAGGGGGTGCTAAGAACCTCCAGGACGAGCTGGATGCAGCTTAGAAAGAAGCATCGGCCTTAAGGCAGGAGCACACCAACTTGGTAAAAAAGGTAAAGGTTTTGAAGTTAGAAATAAGGGTCTGACCGTAGTGGCTAACAACAATACCTCACACGTCCAGCAGAAGATCGACCAGATCGACCAGATGGACCTGCTGGCCTTGGAGAAGGAGACCGCCCAGGTCAAGCTATCTTTGGTGGAAGTTCAGCTTCGGGTAGCGAAGGAGAAGGCTGATACACGGGCTCAGCAATATGAGGATATCCGAACATAACTGGGCTCGGCCATCACTGAACGGGATGCCCTTGATAATGATCTTTAAATAACGATGTCCGGGTTGGAGATAACCTCGAATGATGCTGACGAGATGGTGTCTCAATATAAGGACAATGTCGAAGCAGTTGAGGCCCGCCTGAAGACAATTGTTGAGTACGTGAGGCGGCTATCCCGAAGGGAGACCCTCGAAGAAATATATTCCCGAGGCTTCGACCTATCTGCCGAGATCGAGGAGGCAAAAAGACTTGAGGTCGAGGCAAAGAAGCTAGCTGATCCCTAAGGTGAAGGGGGCTCCGAGGGCTATGAAGAATCCGAAGGCCCCGACGATTCTGGTGACGAGTCGAGTTTCGGTGAAGATCAGGCGTAAATGCCTTAGGATTTTTTAGTTTTTGTATTCTGTACATATTTTTTGTTGAGGCTGTTTTTGTTGGGCCTTTGTAAAGATATTCTAGAATATATAAAATTTTCCCCTTTTGGAAATTTCTAGTCTCTACTATCTTAGCATCTTTTTATAATTGCAAATATTTCTAATTCCTTAGCACAGAACCAAACATAGTGATAAGTCATTTATTTTTCTGATGTCCGATCAAAACCTGACCTCAATGCAATTTTGCTCGAAACTTTTGAAAACTCGGAGTTACCGGAAGTTTTTTCAAGATGCTTAAGTGTTCTTAGATGATGCCTTTTCCGAGGGTGACCTTTTAACAGGTTTAGAATTTTGTTGAAGGCCTTACGTTTTGATTACGGGATTCGGATGTCTCCAAGCCATTTTTTAGGGTGGCCATAGCCTTTTAGGTTTGGGCACTGCCTAATAAGTTTTGTACCTCGGGTTTTGATGACCCGAGCTGCCCGAACTTATTTCGGACGACGGTCCCCGAGTAGGGGTAGCCCTTTGGTCTTGGATAGGGGTGGCCCTTGGGGCTGATAGTCCCGAGGTAGGAATAGCCCTTCGGCTTGATGCTTTAAGAAGCAAAAATATGTAATAGCAAGGTAGAAACTTTTTTTATTTCTGTGTGTAACGTACAAGATTGAAAGCGTGTAAAAGCTTGTATTATGGCTAAGGTGGCCTATGTG